AACTAAGTTCAGATCCTTGACACATTCATTAGAAATAAATGAATGAGTGACACCTGAATCAAATAGTACAGTTAAGGACTTACCTCCCATTTTACCTTCACCCTGTATAAGATCTTCAGATTTAGAGGCTTCTGCACCACTCAAGGTGAAGACTCTTCCACTAGTTACAGGTTTCTGGAATCCTATCCTTTGTTCTCTAGCTACTGATGTTTTGTTTTGAGGACAATCTCGAGCCAATTGTCCTGGTTTGCCACACACAAAGCACACTTGGCCCGGTAAGGAACAATCTTTGGTTAAATGTCCTTTCCCACATTTCCAGGCATTTCAGAGTTGATTCGCTGAAAGGGTCTATTACTTGCTTTACTAGATTCAGCCCCTCTATATCCTTTGAACTGCTGAGGTACAGGTTTGCTATAGGGCTTTTGATATTGATTGGTTTTGCTCTTCTGTATTGGCCCTCCTCTAAACATACCACTTTTATTTCCAATGTCCTTGTTTCTATGAGTCCTGTCCATATCTTCTATCACTTTACATCTATCCATCAACTCTGGAAATGATTTAATGCCCAATGGAGTAACTCGCCCTTCGAATTTCATATCGGAGCCCTTCTTCAAATTTCTTGCATTTCCATTCTTCATCTGAAGTGAGTTGTAAATATCTGGAATATTTTGCCAAGGATTCAAATCTGGCAGGTATATTCTGAAATTGTCATACTTCCTTGATAAAGTTTATTGAATTCCACCTCCTTTGCGTTCCTTGCACTTGGTGGGAAAATATTTCTCTAAAAACATGGTTTTAAATAATTCCCAAGTAACTTTTTCTCCTTTATTTTCCAACATTTTCAAACTTGCCTTCCACCATATCTTCGCATCACCTTGTAGTTGGAAACTAGCATGGGATACTTTCCGTTCATCCGGACATTCCATAGCTACAAAAATATCATCTAAGGTCTGAATCCACTCTTCAGACCTTCTCGGGATCATATTCTCCTTTAAAATATGGCGGATCATTTTTCTTGAAGTCTGCTAAAGTTGTTTTATCTATAGTGGCATGATGCTTGGGGCAAAGTCTGGCTGAGTCAATGCAGCAACCATTTCCCTTATGGCTTGTGCCACATCGACCATAGGATCGCGTCGAGGTGGCATTTCGACCTACAGTTTATTTCACTAAGTTAACGCCTGGTGATAGAAATTATTCCTATCTTATATTTAAAATTTTTCTATACAAACAACATTTTCCTACTCAACTTGTACTCACAAGCCCTAAAGATGCATAACCAGAGCTCTGATACCACTAATGTAACCCCCCTTACAGATTACATTTATTAATTCTAATTTATTATCTAAGTTAGTAATATTTTCAATATTCATAGAAGGTTAATAGAAAATATACTAAGTGAACAATTAATTTAGGTAAGATTTTTATATTAAATCAAGCAAAAGTTCTAGTACAAAGTTTTCAAAATATTACAAGTCATGAAGTTATACTTATATGTTATACAATTCCCAGCCTAAGCTCTGGATTTTTGCATCTGACATCTATCTCTTGGACTATATATTCCTGCATCATACGTCACCAACATCTGGGATTGAAATATTTATGGGGTTAGACATTTAATTTTATCCACAACAAATAAAGCAAACATTTATACGATAAAATCAACCAATGAAACATCCCTTCTAATAAATATACAACCATATATAATTTAATTTAAAAATTAATTATGAGAAACAAATAAATAAATCATGGAATCATAATAGATAATATCGTACAAATCATGAATAATTTACAATTTTATCATGCAATATGTTTATGATATGCACATGTGACTCCAAACGTAAAACTTTAAAATCATGCTTTTGACTCAAAATAAAAAATTTATTTTTGACTCGAGTGCTCCATGGAGACTCATTTGAGTGTCTAGTGGAACCAGAGCTTAACATCACCCTGTCCAGTGATTCGGCAATGTCCCACTAAACGCGAACAAGTAGACGAGTAGTCGAGTGTCGAGTGCACCTGGCAGGCTACCACGGCACAGTAATCAAATAAAGACTCGGCCACTTATGGAATTGCCCATGCCCAAACACTCCCTAGACCGAGGTCCATCCCCATAGACCAGAGGTCCTGTCTTACCTATTCTACTCCCCCATTTACTATCGGAGATTCCTGGTAGCTCAATTCTTAATAATTCATTCTCTGTCTCATTTGGCCAGCCATTTTCATAGTCATATTCCACTACCGGATGCTCTTGATAGTAAATTGACTCATGGAAAAATTTAAAAATTCTCGTTTTGCACATCATTATTCCTACCAACCGTCCTTGGTAGCAACTTAAGAGAAATTTCCAAATACTTTTCCGTAAAAACTTTTCTGTGACTTCCAGAAAACATTTCATGCACTATGTTTATGTCTCGTATGAAACAAAACAATCTATCATCAATTAAATACTTAAAAACATCTCCTTCATATATTCAAAATTTTAATTACAATTCATAGTTGTTTTAAGCAAGACAATTTTTATTAATAATTTATTTCATAGGGTTCAGTGTTTTGTCCATATCTTGAGTTCTAGACCTCATTTTAAGATGATTCCAATTGTGTTGTAAAGATAAGATAATAATCTATAACTTTGATGAAGGCACTATCCTCAAATTCTAACGTTTATTGAGTCATTTTCCTAGTAAATAAAGAGGGGGTAATATACTGTTTGACTTTATCTCGATTATACCCTTGATCTTTTGCAAAAATTCCCACCTAGTCCTTTCTTCTTCCTTCGCTCGCTCAAGCGTAGTACATGGACCGGAGTCCCCTGCTTGAGCAGCATCGCGAGGCATGACCCGAGAGTCCCCTTTGTTTGAAGCTTTCGTCGCTCAAGCGAGTACACAGGTCGCTTGAGCGAGACATGACCCTTAGTCCCCCCTTTTTTTTTTTTTTTTTTTTTTTTTGAAGTTGTCGTCGCTCAAGCGAGTACACCGGTCGCTTGAGCGAGACATGACCCTTAGTCCCCCTTTTTTTTGAAGCTGTCGTCGCTCAAGCGAGTACACCGGTCGCTTGAGCGAGACATGACCCTTAGTCGCTCAAGCGATGTAATTTTCGCTTGAGCGATAAAGAACCCGAGAATCCCAAATTTTCCAGGTATCCTCGCTCAAGCGACATATTTTTCGCTTGAGCGAGTTTTTGCAGATTTTCATCAGTTCGCCATTTTCGAAATCCAAGTTTCAAATTTCTCATTTTCAATCACTCAAATTTGTTCCAAATCAAAATTAAACCATAATCATGTTCAATTTAAGTTAAAAACAACAATTTTATTATATAATTCATCCTTAATTGAAAGAATTTCAACAATATTTCAAACTTTGCAATTGATGAATAGTAATCTCCAATTACAGACATTCGTATGAATAAAACTAAACGTCTAACCCATACCTGATTCCTCAATATCTTATTACTCTCCTAATTTTGTATGCTCCTCCTTTCCTCCTTTCTCTCGAATTCTTCTTCCAAGAATTCTGGTGTCTCTCGGTTTATTCTTCAAGTTGGTTGTGAATTGTGTTGGTGTATGTTTCCAGTTTCCTCCTATTTATAAACTTACTCACCGACTTAATTCTTTCTAGGATTTTCTTCGCTGTCTTTATTCTTCACCGCCTTAATTTAATTCTGATTCTTCACCGACTTAATTCAAATGTATTTAGGCCACTACCGACCTTCTGTTTCTCTCTCTTTTTTTTCTAAATATTTATTTACTCATTTATTTAATTTTTTATTATTAAGAATTATTATTAAATTATTATTTGACACAATATTAACCTTGGATTTTATTTTATAATTTTCTTAAGACAAAATTACTATAAAAATCATGTTTTATTTTTATAATAACTCTACATAATATTCGGTACATATTTATAACTTACAAAATTTATTTATATAATTGATTACAAAATTTAGGATATTACAACTTCAATTTTTTTATATTGTAATAATAATAATAATAATTATACCATATTAGTATAATTATTAATAATAATATTTTTAATGTTATTAATATGCTTAATTATTATTTAATTTATTATAATTAATAACAAAATAAATAATAATGATTATATTTATATAAGTAATATATAATAGATAATTATTTTTTATCAATATTATCATCAATATTATTTTATTATTATTAATACTGAATATTAATAATGAGATAATATTATTAATAATAATTAATACTAAAATTGTAATAATAATAATTTAATATTAATAAAATTATTAAAATATAAAAAATTGAAATAGTACGGTTTATATTGAAGTAGTATTAATAACACTTCTTAGACTAAAAAATATTTTAAGATTAAAATCGTGTTTTGTGCTTTTTAATACAATTTACACCATTCTGATATTTTTTTTAAATTACACATAAATAAATTGATATTTACAAATTAAAAATTCTTATTATAAAAAGTTGATATTATTAAGAATTAGTTGCGCGTGTCGTTGTTTGTTTGAAACCAAAGCTGCCGAAGTCGAGGGTTTTTGGTCAGGTCAGGTTTGGTTTGGTAGCTTTGGTTATGTGTCGTAATCATAGACATAACATAGATTTTGGTATCAACACCCAACCGCCAGGATGCATTGATCACTTCCAAAATTTGATTTTGCACAGCAAAATTTCATTCTCGTCTATTCCTCACAATCGGTCTCTTTTGTTGTTACATCGCTTCATCTTTGCCATCGGAATTGGATGTCTTTCAAGTTCACAAAACCCCGTGAAAATTTCCATTCTCCTTTTTTTATTCTTAATGATTATTATTTCCTCTTGTTGGATGATAGATTTATTAGTTTATTAGAGTTGGGAGAAGAATGTGGTTGGTTAGTGAATCAGGGCTAGTTGTTTTATTTTCTTGGAAGTGGTTTCCCTCAATTTCTCTAAATTGATGGAAAGTTTCTTCCTTCCCCCAATTATTTGTTTTGTAGGGTTTGGGTATTGAGTATGTGTGTGTTGAAGAGGTATAATGGATTTGTGGGTTGTTGCAGCCGTTGCTGGAGCTGGGTGCTTGGCTAAATATTTGAACAAGATTTCAAAAGATGGTGATGGTTCATCTCCATTGTCTGTGGAGGATTCCTATTTTGAGAATTCTGAGTCCTCAATCCACCCCTTATGCACCCAAGCAGGGAGAGATTCTTTAGATAGAAGGGCGGCCTCAGACGTGACTTCACAGGATTCTCTTTTGGCTTCTGATGAAGGGCTTGAAAGTGAAAAAGTATGCTTCTTCGGGAATTGCAATGAGAGTGATGTCCTTTCTGTTTCTAACTTTAATGGTTATGGAAATGAACAAAACTCCAATGTCGGTGGTAATTGTGGTTTCCTACCCACTGATCTGTCTGCAGGAAAATTGGCCCATAATCCTCATGAAAATAGAACCCCTCACAGGACTAAGCATCTGTATGGGCATATTAGTAGACCTTCAACCTCCTTAGAAAGTTGCCTAATGGCTCAGCTATGCAAAGAGCATGTCACAAAGGAAGAATCTGTCTTTTCGCCATCCATGGCAACGCGTTCATTTCTTGTTAGTGATGGAAATCAAATAATCAGTAGAGCAAACAGTGATGATTCTTTCAGTGGATTAACTGGAAGTGGTGAATATAGGTTGCATAGAGAAGCCAATAAAGTGAAGGATAAAAGTGTATTATTTGGAGTTCCTTCCTTACCCAAAACTGGATCTTCTAATGAAGCCAAGAGGATGAAGTTTAATGCTGGCAATGAACGAAATAAGAGATTGAGCCCTACTAGCAATGTGTTCAGTGGAAAGCAGATTCGTACTCAACATGGTATGGTTCTTGAATCTTGACTTACAAATACCTTTATAGTGTGTGCTGTGTTGCAAATCTTTGTTTTGTGTAAATTCTTTTCGGGCCAACATTTAGATTTTTGTGTATTCTCTGGTTATTTACAAACTTACAATATCTTGTAAAGGAATTTTGTTTCATTTACACATTCAGGTCATTCAGGTGTATATCTTGTTTCATTCTGGTCATTCAATAGTTTCACTAAATGAGACTCATATATATGAGTTTTTGAAAATCAGATGGGTTTCGAAGAGGTCTAAACTCTCTTCAAACATACTCGAAGGATGTTATAGACTCCTGATTTTTCTATTCACAGATCAATTTTTCCGAAGAAAGCCAATGTCACTGTTCCTTTACAAGTGGAGGTTGTTTTGGTCCGGAGGGGGAAAATTGTTTAATGACCTTAAATGGCTTTACCAAAAATGATTAAAAACTGGTTTTATTATCCAGGCATAACATGTATATCACAGCTAATCTGTATCAGTTACTGCATATGTTGACTTGCTGATGGAGTAGGTTGCTAATTATCTTATGAGTCAATATCAAGTATCTGGTGCTTGTTGTGTGGTGTGTTTTGCTTTAACTACTCTTGTTGACACATACATAATCATCAGATGCAACATTTCTCTTCAGTCTTGGGGTTTCTTTTGGGATAATAACATCCATCTTGGCAAATAAAAGAGAAATGGACAAGTTAAGAGTGTTGTTGAAGCAGACAGAAAACTTGGTACAAGATCTACAAGAGGAACTTGAAATGAAAGATTCGATGAGAGTGAAAGAGTTACATAGTGAAAATTATGATTCACAGGGTACTTGTGATAATTCCTTCTGTGATAAGGAGCTCAATGCATTTTCACCTGAAAAGCACATGGGTAATTTTCCAATAACTGACTGCAAAAAGTCATACAATCAGAAGGAAGAAGAAAGTTCAGAATCTATGAGCAAAATTGAAGCTGAGCTTGAAGCTGAACTTGAGAGATTGGGATTAAACATGAATGAGTCTAGCCCAGAAACACCTTTGTCTGAGCTTGTTGAGGTAAGCAAAAATGTTTGTCTTCTGCATTTCCGAGTATTCGTAGTAAGATCCTGTACGCATGTTTCATTTTCTTAGAATGTTGAAATATGCTTTATTGCTTAGCTTTTCATCTATGAAAATCCTACCCCTGTACATAATAGAGTTGAATAGTGCTTTCTGATTGCGCTCCAGGACAACTGTATAGTAATATTACTTGGTTCCTCTCCGTTTACACCTCTAAAAAGTATAACCCAAACCTGTTTTTGTGTAAGACAAATGCCTCATAATATGATATCCTCCATGTGGTTTGCTTTATATCACTTTTTATTAATCATTTCTTATATGTTTGGTTTAGTTACCATAGTACAGCATACTGCCAGTGTTATCTTTTATAATTTAAAATAGCTTTGCTTATGTAAAAATATCTCGGATGCATGTTGAGCTGCAAAATATAGATACTATGGATGCATATTGTCAAATATAATCTCACTTTCTCGAAGGATTTTAAGGTTCCAATTGTACCATGTGTATATTTCTCACCAATAAATAAATTAAAAAAACCAAGAAAATTAAAGTGGTAATTTAATACTATTATACAAATCTTGAATTTGTCTGGTACCTAACTCAACTCTAAAAGCTAACTCCTGAGATAAGTGTTGCCTATGCCTTGATAAGCTTTACTTTATATTATAGAACTGATTTGTTTCTATATTACATTGGGTAAGCTGTATGGCCAGGACAGTTGAAGGTGACCTAATAGCAATTTTGTGATAAACTCCAGTACCATCTTGAATTTCGATTAGATCTAGTTCAACTCCAACAGATAACTTATGAGGTAGAGATTGCCTGTTCTCATAAGCTTTTCTTTGACATATCTATAATTGATGCAAGATCTTAATACCAATAAATGCAGCGACCTCTTTAAGTAGTCTTTTTTGCCTTTTCCTCCATAGCTCCAAGTTGTTGTAAACAATGATCTGTTTGTAAGCATATGAATAGGAAATGGGGAAGAATAATGTTATGCTGTTTTGACTGGAACTTTAAGTAAGAATAACATTGTCGTTTCAACCTGAATGCTTATGATATGACGATTAACTTCCATATATTTTTTATGGAGCAAAATTATAAGACATCTATTAGGATATATATTCTAGTATGTAAACACATTTAAATATAAGTGACAAGTTATCTATGTTAAAGCTCTGTATATGTAGAACTTAGTAGCTGAATGCATTTGTTATTGTTACTTGAAGATCTGCTTCATTAGTTCTATTGCAGTGCGAGTTTCTATTTTAAATTATTGATTTATTGTATTTAAAATTTGATTTCTAACACTAATTTTGTATCTTATTTTGAAAGTCATGCAAGATGTCAATTCCCAATTATTTTGCTAATCTCTTTCGCTTTATTCTAAAACTTCTTGGAGTAGCTGTAGAAAGAGTGTCTTCTTTGGGAAAGTTTGATTGTTTTGTTATCTTCGCAATATTGTTTGGTGTTATGAGTTTTACAATAAATATATAGCCTGCGGTAATTGCATCAAGGCTTGAAAAAAACTGGAACAATATCTAGATAGACGTTTTTACAGAAAATATTTTCTCGATTAGTTGGATAACGTCGTTGATTTTTTTAATTTGCCGGTTTAGTTCACTTCTCACCCCTGTTTTGTTCACTATGTCTCCAAAAGTTTACCACTTTTGTTTGCCTCCATTCCATGCTTTTCTTTTGTCTTAAAGTTAACAGTACTTGACACGGGTCCATGGTGTGCTAATATCTCAAAATCTCTTGCAGCTTGACCCTGACTTTCTGGCAGATTTAGCTCAAGGTGAGTTGCAAACTGACGTGATTGGTGGGGAAAAAAAATTCCATTCAGAACTTTATGAGGATGACGGAGACACTGTGGTTCCTGTAAATTATGCTGTTTCCCCTCATGAGCTAACACTGCGCTTGCACAATGTTATCCAATCCAGACTTGAGGGACGTGTACAGGAACTTGAGATTGCCCTTGAAAATAGTCAGAGAAAACTATGGTTTATGGAATCAGAGGACAATAGTCATTCTCAAAAGTGTTTCTCAATACAAGCATCCTCCTCTAGTGAAGGAAATATGTTGGCTTATAATAACTGTGAGCCTATGACCGAACCCTTAGATATGAATTCATCTGGTGAATCTCCAGGTGCTTACAATGACACCTATTTTGAAGAAATTATAAAAATAGATGACTTTGAAGAAAATTCACCATCAAGCATCCATATTACTGACTGTAAAGTAGATTCACATTCACATGATTTACATGTATTAGGGGTTCAACATTGTGTAGCAAATGATCTCCATACTTTTCCCACTGTTAATGAATTGAGACTGTCAAGGGAGCTGTCTTCTGGTGAGGTCACTATGTTGGAAGGGCTAAGCTCTAGCAATTATGAATCAAATGATGTTACTGGAGATGAAAATTGTGAGTGTGATTATGAGGTGGAAAGGCAATTAATAAGACAAATTGTTGAAAGGACCAAGAAAGGTTCTCCAGTCTTCCAAAATGCTAGAAGGATATTGTATTCTATGGATGGAGTTGAACATTAATATCAAATTATTTTTGGTTGTGTAGAAGTAAAAGAGGGTAGTAATTTCTCTTCCTTTTTCTGAGTGGTCTACGAGATGAACACGCATTGCTTCTTTGCGCTTGACCTTTGCCTATTTTGTTTGGTGCTAAGCTAGCACTCTTTGCATGAGTTGAAGTTCACTGTCTTAGACAGCATTATTGGCTAAAATCTAAACAAAACCGATGAAAATGTTCTTTTGCTTATTAAATGAATTGGTTATAGTGCATATTTTGATGTAGTTATACATCATATTCATTTACATTCAGGAGTTTTAAATGAGTGTCATTTTTCACATTCTTTCATTGAAAATGTTCAGTTCAGTTATACAATTGGTATTTTATCTTTTACGTTTTATTCAGTTGTATTCCTAAATATTTTTGAAATTAAAATTTAGTTTTTTATGTTTTAAAAGTAAATAATTATGAATCCTCTGATATATTGTAATACTGGTCCTAACAAAGACAAACAAAAAGTTGATTTTTGGCAAGTCAAATATAAAGAAGGTGTTAGTGAGAAATTGATACAAAAAACAGAAGAAAAAAAATCGAAGATCATATGATTGGTTAAAAGCTGATAAATTGGAAAGATGATGGGAAGATACCTAGTGATCACGAGATAGAATGAACGTATAAATCGAGAATGAGAATCGAGAATTAGAAAAGAGAGGAAAATCGATGGAAGTAATGGTAAAATATAGTGCAAAGTCAAGGTTAAGGGAAATCATACTCGATAACTGGAATCGAGATCGAGGGAAACAGTTATCATGCAGATGGAACATGAAGAGTGGCTTTTCACATCGCGGCTAAGGTTAGAAATCGAGAAACGGTTATAATGCATATTGAATGTGGAAGCGGTTTTCTAAATCGTAAACTAAGGTAAAAAATCGAGGAACATGCACATGGAACGTGGTGACAGTTTTTTAACTGCTCTTGGGAGGTTATATTGAAAGATGTCTATAAATAGAACGAAACTTGAAGAAGAAAGGGAAATTGGCAGAGACAGCAGAGACACAAGTGAAAAGTCTACCGGAGAAACGACGAATCATGAAGTTTCTAGCGATCTGAATTTCCATTTTCATTGATTATCTTTATCGCTTTCTTTACTTTCTCTGGTAACTTATGTTCATGCAATTTACTTTCATGCAATTTACGTTTATCAACTTTAAGTTTCTGTCTTTTCAATTACTTGTCATTTTCATCTTTATGCAAGTTAAGATTCTGCGTTTAAGTTCCTTGTCATTTACACTTCTGCAATTTCGATTTCCTATTATTTACATTTCTGTAATTTCGATTTCCTGTCATTTACATTTCTGCAATTTCGATTCCTTGTCATTTACACTTAATGCAAATTTGAGGTTTCCGCATTCTACATTTCTCTGCAATTTAATATTCTGCACAGCTTTTGGATTCAACACTTTTACTGTTTTCTTTACTTCGATGTTTCCTAATAAAAAAAATACCAAAAAGTGTACTTTCGATTGTCAATCTGTATGTCATATTACATTGTTAGCATTTTCTCGATACTGTGGTATTTTCGATTCTCATACATGTTTCGATTGAAAAATGTTTGCTAGCCTAAGTAAAAAGAATCTACGTGGTTGAAATTTGATTAGAACCTAGGTCTCCAAAAAATTGAAATTGATCAAATTTTCACCAGAAACAAATTGGCGCGCCAGGTAGGGGAAAAGTTGTGTCGAAAAACACAAACAATTGGCTAGTTCGAAAGTGTATGAGATTAAGGAGTGAGCGAGTAATAAGAATGAGTCAAAATCCACCACATAATCAAAATAACAGTGAGATTCTAAATAGTTCACATTCACCAAACACTGGGGGCAAGTTCACAATGGGAACATGCCTGTAATATCGACAACTGTAAGTACGTCGATACCCGTTAGTACTGAACAAAGCCTAGGCACATTAGTAAACACTCAGTTAGGGTCGAGTACTGCAATGTCAAACAATATACAAACTATGGGGAACCCCGTAACAACGTATGCAGGTCCGCATATGAGTGTAAGACCGCCTGGTTTTTCGATTAATAATATTAACGGGGCTGGTACTTTTCAATACAACGAAGTACGAGATTTAACCTAGGAATGCCCCAAAATTTAGGAACAGGTCAAACTTTAGGTATGCCTCAAAATTTTGGAATAATACCAAATTTAGGGGTGTCTCAAAATTTAGTAACACCCCAGAATTCAGGGAATGCGCAGAATTTAGGAACACAACAGACGCCTCCAATATCAAACTTAGATCATAGGGCAAACCTGGATCACAGGAGATATACATTCGATAGAGATTATCATTGATCTAATTTTGAGACTATCGAAAACGCTAGTACTGAGATTTTCAGTAATTCATTAGGATTACTTCGATAACAAATGGATGAAAGCAATTTTGAGATGGTTAACATGTTATCACAACAGTTAACCACAGTACTAAACCCATTAGTTCAAAACACTACCACTGGTTTTGAGATATTAGCAGACCAAATGACACGTATCGGGGATGCATTGACAATACCTCGACAAACAAGGGTCGAAAATACTGCCAATCAGAATATTAACCAAAACGCTAATATCAATCCCCTTTATTTATTAAGGAGAAATCGAAACAATGATCAACATCAGCATGTGGGAAATGAATATCAGCATGTGAGGAATGATACTTATGGAAATCTAAATGAGGGATTCCAAAATATGTATAATCAAAATAACATGCAGTATAATCACATGTTGGGACCAAGGATGAATCCTCTAGGAGTGGAATTAAGACCACCTAATCAACCGTACTTTGTTTCTCCTTTTCCAAATACAATTCTTGAGACAGAATTACCTCGAGGATACAAAATACCTAAATTCACCAAATTTGCTGGAGAAGTTGGTGAATCCACTATCGAGCATGTGGCGCGATATCAAATCGAATGTGGAGACTTAGCGATGAGTGAGGAATTAAAAATGAAATACTTTCCTAGTTCATTAACAAAGAATGCTTTTACTTGGTTTACATCACTGCCACCTAATTCAATATATAATTGGTTGCAGCTAGAAAGAAATTTTCATGAGCAATTCTTTAGGGGGGAGACTCAAGTAAGTCTTATCGACTTAATGCATATAAAGAGATATAATCATGAAAGTGTAGATGATTATTTGAATAGATTTAGACAAATGAAGTCGATATGTTTTACTCAAATTCCCGAATTTGAGTTAGTCAGAATGACCTCTGCAGGTTTAAAATTCTCAATTAGGAAAAAATTAGTTAATTTACCATTGAATGACATGGCTCAGCTAGCCGATAAAGTGAGAAGAGTGGAACAAATCGAATACGATAAACAAAGGTACAAGAAATTTGAGAAGCCTATGAAGAAAGACAGGGTAGCGTATATAAATGACATATATGAGGAAAATCCCAGGATAGAAGGAGATATTAAAGAATCTATCGATGAGAAAGTAAATGTAGCAGAGCTTAAAGTAGGAGCTCCATATATTTGTAAACTGCTACAGAAAAATGAAGTGAAAGACAAAATGGCAAATCACACATATACTTTTGATGTAACAAAGGCAGATAAAATCTTTGATATTTTATTGAAAGATAAACAGATTAAGTTGAGTGATGATCATAAATTACCTTCTGCAGAACAAAGAAATGGTCGAAAATATTGCAAATTTCATAATATCTATGGACATTGGACTAATAATTGTATACATTTCAGGAACACGATCCAAGATGCAATCGATCAAGGAAGATTGAAGTTCGAGGATATGTTAATGAAAGTTGATACGAGTCCATTTGAAGTTCAAGTAGGGTATGTCGAATCCCAGACGGACATGATTGAAGATGTCCGATTGATAAATTCGACCTTTATAGGTATGGTCGATGCTACTGAAGACATTGATCCCAGACATGTCAGAATGGACATGTTAGAAGAAGACATAGAGTTCGACCTAAGCGAGTTCGAGAAAGAATTTGAGAAAGAAATCTATCCTCGATCAGAAGATTCCCTCGTCGAATTTCTAAACAGGAAGAAAGAGAAGGACGAAGGTGTGACACTATGTCCGTGATGCAGTGCGATGTTCGATAGATCAGCTGCTAAATCCTTCAGAGCAGGACAGATAAAGAAAAGAGAGGATCAACATAAAAGTTGTAATGATAAAGTAGATCAAACCGTCCAAGCCACGGTAGGAGAGAGTCAGCAGAAATCTGTTGGTTCTGGTGCTAGTAGAAATCAGAAACAATGGATTAGGAAAGAAATGTGTTATCCTCGGGAAGGAAGGGGCAGATTTCAAAATAATGATGTTTTCGACAGGCTTTCATATGATGGAGGATCGAATACTGGATTCCCTACATTCCAAAGGAGATTTCGAGGAAGGCCTTGGAGGAGAGGAAGAAGGATCCCTTACTGGGGAAGGATCAATAATTATAGGAACTTTGAAGAAAGTAATATACCGATGGGGGGTCAATATGTAAGAGACTTTATCGATGACAAAAACGAAGGTAGTTGGAATGAACATCAAATTGGAGTAATATCTATACTACCCACGGAATACGTTAGCGAGTATGAGGAGTATCAAGGGCAAAGTAACGTCGATCGAGAGGACGATTTCTATTCCGAAGATATGAGACCGAAAGTGACATGGGTAACACAAGCATCATGCGAAGTACCCCATAGAGATGCTGCTTTTATCAATCCCCCATCCGAGGAGATGAGGTTTCATTTGAAACCTTTATTACTGAACATCGAAATTCAAGGACAGAAGGTGAATAAGGTCCTAGTTGATGGCGGTGCAGCAGTAAACATATTGCCAATCACTATGTTGAAGATGTTTGGTATCAAATTGAAAGACTTAGTCAGACACAATATCATGATTTCGGATTTTAGTGGGAAATCATCGAGCTCAGAAGGCATGATTACTTTAGATGTGAAAGTGGGTACTTATTCGAGGCCCACTGTGTTTATAGTTGTCCAATCACATGCCAATTT